GAACCTCTCTCTCCTCTCCCTCTCCTCTCTCTCCTCTCCTCTCTCAATAATCCATCGAGTCAGGCAGGACTGGACCTGCTTTTCTCACCAGCAGCAGAAAAATATTTATTAAGTTCTCCAGATCGTTTGGGTCACTGAAGGGAGCAGGGCAAGAGCTCAGTGCCAACAAAACCTTCATTTTTCTCTGAAAGGAGAGACAGCAGCCTAAGTTACTGCCAATTTTCACAAAGCCRTAAAAGTCCAGCAGTATCACTAAGATAGGATTCTGTCCATGGCTCCTCATTATTCAAAGGGATGGGAGGATATGGAGACGCCGGAGTAATCTGGAGCAGACAATGAAAGTTGTCAAGTCTCCTCTGATTAAAACTGCAAATCCTACCACCCTAATCCTAATCCTTCCCCGTGGAAAGGGGAGATTAGTCTGGGTCCYGACAAAAGATAACTCTATCTTTTCCTTAAGTTATGCGTTAAAATTCAATCTCCTCTCAGGAGAGAGCGGGCATGGATATTGCTTTTTCTCTCCCCCTAATTAGAAAAGMATAAGAAAATAAACACTGCTGCTAGCACAGCGACTGGCATAGCAGAGCTCTGTGCTCTCTGATTGCCTCATTAGTGTGCTAAGACTACCCACACTGCCAGGGAGGTCAACCATAGGGGTTTTTATCCAGCCCTTGGGGGTTATGTGGTGTTTTGCAAAACACTGAAGCAATCCTTAGACTTTTGCTTCCATGTAGACAGGTGTGAATGCTCAGCAAGCAGGGCACGCTGTCAGGAGAATGCCAGCATGCCTGGGCACTTCAGCCCCTCTGCCTTCTTGTAGTGCAGTCATTAGGAGCGATTTTTAAATGCGATTCCATTCTGCATGATCTGCATACACCAGGAGTGATCCCAATGTCTCTGTTCCAGCCAAATCTTAACATCCGTAGAAGCTGCTTTAAATGTCAGTGGGACAGGCCGTGAAGGCGGCTTTCTTGGCAGCACTCTGAAAGGATGCAGTTATGTGCTCTGTAAAAAGGAGCTCCCAGCTCACAGCAGAGCCTGAAATGGCCAATGTCCTGTGGGGACAGGGACAGAGGCAGCCCCACGGCACAGCTGGCAGCAGGTGGGGCAAGCATTCAGAGGAGGCTCAGTGCTGGTACATGGTGAAACACTCCCCTCTCTGGTGTCCTCTGCCATCCTTGGGGACAGTAAGAGCCCTGGCGTTCTCCCCTGGCTGACACCTTAGCAAGAACAGARGCAGGCTCACAAGGCAACAGGAGGGGACTCCACAGACCAGAGGGGCCTTTTCCAGCTCCCACTGGTGCCAATATTTCCTCCTCACAGTGTGGCACATCCTTGACAAATTTGCTTCACTCAGTTTTTCAAGCCTCTGTGCTCACCAGTGCCTCCACATGGGGCTGCTAGCTTTCAGCAGGAAAAGGCCACTTTTGGAGTATAAAGTGGATCAGAGAAACTCTCCTGGAGAAGTGCAGTCACCACAGGGCAGGGGACTCACTGCCACTGCAAGGGTCAGCAAGCCCTGCTGAGGGGCACCAGAATGAGCCTCTGCCTGTGAAAAAAACCTTCACAAAGGCTGGAGAAGATGACAAGGTAGCAGCCTGCATTGATGTGACRCTTCTTTTTTGTTAGCCCAGCTGCGACTGTGCTCAAATAGAGACAATAATAAGTCTCTGTGACTTGGTTTCCAAACCAAATACATATGAGACCTTTGAGATCAACTGGAAACCCTGCTGATGTCTTTAAAACATGTCCATGGGAGGAACACAAAGCATTAGCAGTAATATTTATTTTTCACAGCATAGCTGTGTTTTGGGAAGGGGAGGGCAATGCTCATTAGCAGCACAAATGCACCAACCTGTATTTTCAGGCTATTAATATGGTGCCTAGAGTTAATGGAAATATAATGGAATGAGATGCTTTTCAAAAGATGGGATTTAGCACAGTCAGGGAAAAAAATCAAAGGCAYTAATGAAATTTTAATGAGAAAATCAGCTTGCAGTAATTTTACAGGTAATGATTATTTCCYTGATTTGACGAGCCTGAATAGCTTTGTCTTTGGTGGGATGCACTTGCAAGGTATGCTCATGAGGRCAGGGAATGATGCATTGCAGGCCAYRGCTGTSACTGTCCTGGGAAAGAAACAYGGCTTTGATGTACAAAAGATTGTCTRCCTGGATGAAAGGCCAGAGCCTGACCACCCCCTTTCCACCAAAGAGCGAGGGAGGGGGCTCAGACTTGTTTTGTTCATTGGCTGCTAGTGACACATCATATCACAACYCAGTTCTTTCAATGTCTGGAGTCACCTACCCTCCTCCTTTGGTGCTGGAGATGAGGTTTTTTGCATAGGGAGTACACCCTGCTGTTCAGGACCATGTGCTCTTAATTAGGCACTCAGTACAAACCCAGTAATTCACAGGATTTTATTGCTACACATACACACGCCCACCTTACAGAGGTTTTCTCTTTGCTAGGACATGACCAGATCCACCTCTGGGGCTTGCTAACATCACAGCTGTCCATCAGTGAAGCTGATCTGGAGGGAATGAGTGTTGCTAATTGGGCTAGAAGGGCCTGGGATTTGTTTCACAGAGCTTGGGGTGCCAGCAGATCAGTCATCTTTCCCAGCTCTCTTTAGTTGTCTTTAAGGAGTAGCAGGTGCATTTAGCATCTGTTCACCTGACTCTTTCTGGGCCTTGGGCTAGGAGAGGCCTTGCACCTTGAAGTGCCTATTTGCCTTCACTGGAGACAGCACAGACCATATTTGAGTTTGAAACCCCCACAACAACTCCCTGCTTGGATTCAGACAGACTTGGTCAGTGTTCCCAAGAGTGTCCTGCGGTGAAGCCCATGTGTGCAGCTACATCATTCTTCTCTACTGATGGCAACAGAAATCCCAGGAACCCAAGGAAAGAGCACRACTGGGGACAGATCATGATGGTTTCTATCCTACAGTTGCAAKTCAGGTTGCTTGAGCCTGCCTTGTAACAAAATGGAGGTACTGAGGATCAGGAAATGTCTCCCTTGTCCCGCAGAGATGGTRTCACYAYGAACCTCTGCTAGGAGCACATCTCRCTAATCCCGCATGTTTGAGAAACTGCACGTGAATAGYATGGTTAAATCTGTGTGCATCTGAAAGGACATGGCCTCAAAGAGACACTTGTTGCTGTTCCTGGAATCCAAAATAGGGAATATCCTCTCGGCCTTTCCCAGTTCTGCCGTAATTATAGGGAGATAGCTTCTTCTATAAGGTGTATTGTCTCTGGTCCCCCATAAAGAGCTGCATCATAGCAGTTAGCCAGGAAAGAAACTCCCTGTGAAGAGACTTAAAAATCCTGGTGTCAGCCACTGCTGGTCCAAAATAGATAATTTTTTTGGGAAAGGAAAGATCTAATCATCTGAGGTCCTTGACAAAATTAAGGTCCATTTGAATTCACTCTACTCTGACACTGAGCTCGAAACTTCTTGCTGAGCTGTGATATGCACTTTAGGAGAACATGCAATTGTTTTCCAAGGTCACCAGCGAGAAAACAAGACTGAAGGCATCCTGGAGGATTGTCACTTATGGTGCCCTCTTTCTGAGTACTGGTCATGCTTTGCATGAAAAGTAAACTTCAGGCCTGTCAGACTGAAGTGATTTGTTAATTTTATGCTCAGTGCTTGTCTCCACTTTTACTGCTCGCTCAGATGACAGTGTGTGAGCCTCCAGTGTGGGGGCTATGTGCTTTGACAGGCTCAAGTCCAGGAAATATGTTATTACCTGAGCTTTTCTTCTTTTTTTCTTTCTGCTTTTTATGGTTTCTTATTTGTTTGTTTGTTTTGTTCAGAATTAAAAAAGAYTGAAGTGAAAATTCAAAACCAAACCTTCATTCCTGAACTGCCGTGCCTGTAATACATCAGGGTATCTCTGACCACCTTAAAACTGTATTGCCCATGAAATCAAGTAAACATGTCTAACATTCAGAATTCTCTGGAGGGACCATCCATCATTTTGTTTTCCCCAGTAGATTTATTTTGTAATTTGTTTTTGGGATTTTTTTCTTTCCAACATACCATGAAATTTAAAATGATAGATCCACTCTGAGGAAAAAGGAGTGCAAGAAAGGTTATCATTTATCTAAGGTGCTAAAGAARAAGGGAAAAATTCAGCAAAGGTATTTTTTTGTCATCTGCCCTTAAAACTACAGTATATTGCTCTGAAACATGTATAACACTGCAAGGAACAGTTGTTGCCTTTTACAGTATTGCTTCAAGCTTGGCTGCTCGCAACTTAATTTCTCCAAGAGTTTCTCCATAAAAGCAAATTTCATATTAGGCAATGACACTGCTAACATGGATCACACAGAAACACTTCTCAGCATCAGCAGTAGTATCAGTCCCAGAAGCACAGGGAAACTGTGAGGTTGTGTGGAGCTCCATACACATGGATCCAAAAGGGATGAAGAAATGTGTGTCACTGACCCATCACCGTTTTTTTGCTAGTTCTCCTGCAAGTTTTATATTAGTGAAATGTCATACCGGAGTTTCATTTGAGTCCTTGTCACAGACAGTGCAAAAATAGTCACCTTTCTTTTATTTTTCACTTTGATTTCCCAGCTGAATTTTCTGTGGACTGAACTGGTTTGCTTTAAATCCTGTACACAAAGAGTACAGAGTACATAAATGTGCATTTACTGTTCAATGGGTTATTAGTAGAATGGCTTGTAAACACTCTCAGGATAGAAAGTCTCAGGATGGTGTCTACCTCTTCCTAGAGAGAAGGGAAATTAACAGTAGTGTGGAATCTCTTCAATTTTTTGCCATTGTCAGCTTTTTTTATGCAGAAAGCTGCACTTTGCAGCAACAAATGTTCTAGCATGAGGAATCAGAATCTCTCACCCCGCTTTATTGCTTAAAATGTAGAYATTTATATCTCAAGCAATTGCTGTGGCTTCCTTTATATCCAAGGAAAGCATCACTCAGGGGATTCTGCCACAGGMCCCCTGTGTAGGTAGTGGTGGCAGCAGAACCCCTGCACCCATGCTGGACACTGGTCATGATGGGTCTCCACAGCCTCCCTCATGGGTAAGCCAATCTTTTCCTTAAAACTTGAGAATCGCGTATTTTTGACTTTGACCTCAAGTCATYGATTTCTTTCTTCAGGAAAAAACTGAAGCCAGTTTGCTCATAGWGGCAGCATTTCTTCCCTCGTAATCCATTTGAAAGAGGCAGGCAGTGCTACCAAGCTGTTCAGTTCATGGGATTTATTTGTGTTTTCAGCTCACTGTGAAGCATCAAAGTGCCGTGTAAGTATTGTTGGGACTGTGTTTTTGAGGCTATCCATTACCAGTCTCACTGCTGCATGGCTGAGCACAGCTATCCATTGTAAACATTAAAAAATCCCATCTTACAAGGTCTTTAGTTATTTAGTAAGTTAGTTGGTTAGTTAGTTATTCCTGGACACTTAAAGAATATGGAAATTTTATACTGAATTCCACATATATATATTTACATATGTGTTTGTGCATGTGTGTGCATGTGTGTGCATATACACGTTTATATATGGCTCATTTTTGTGTAATAATGTGGAATTATGTTTGGAATGGGTGATCCAAAAAAAAAAAAAATTAACCAAGCATGAAGAATTGTGCCTTTTCACCTTCATTTTACCTCTGATAAGTTTATTTTCACAAGTGCCTTGTTTCCATTCTTGCTGGCTGTGCTAGTGCAACACAGCCTGCTCAAATAATGTGGGATGGTGAAGCTGTGGTGCTGAGGAAACAAGAGAGCTCAAATGGCTGGGAAAACTCCAACCACAATATTCCCTGAGATATTTWCATGGCACAGCTATCGGTTAGCTTAACAACAGGCAGAAAGGAAAGCCATTGCTGTAGAGGAACAATCTCCCAGCAAACAAGGTGATCCCAAGCAATGCTCAAGCTCTGTGACAGGCTGCAGTGCTGCAGCCCAAGCCCCCAGACTCATTTCCCCATGGCTGAATGCAGCAGGCAGCTGAGTCCCTTCCTGAAAATCCAAGAAGTTGTCAAGGAGCCTGGCCATCTTCCAGGGCGTGTCAAGCCCTAAGGTAAAATGGATATGTCTGCAGACTGTTTTACATGTTTAAATCCCTTTCCTGGAGACTGTAATTGAGGATATCCTTTATTAAAGCATTGTAAAAATTAAAAAAAGAATAAATAATTACCCAGCAGCTGCCTTTTGGTCTCTGCCTTCAYCCCATCTCTCCCATAAGAAGCGGGTTCTCCCTGTCCCTCTGTCATAGCCATGGGGCTGGAAGCAAGTCCTAGGGAYGGCCCACAGTTCCCTCCCTGTCCCTCTCTTTTCCTTTGCCTTCTTTCTCTCTCAAAACCATGTGTTCCCCTCCCGCAGTGTAGTGGGGCAGCACAAAGCTGTTCCTGGGTGCTGCTGTGGTGGGACACGCAGGGTCTAAGAGGAGGGAAGCAGTGGGTGAGGTAAAGCTTTGAAATCTGAGGGTTGACATGCCAGGAGGGTGCAAATCCTGGGAAGGGGGCTTCTCATCAGTTCCTTTGCCTAAATCACACATCCTGCAAATCACTTCTTGCAGGGCCAGAAGTAGCATGTCTGTCGGCTCCAGGGGGGAAGATTCTTTGCAACCCACACTGAATCACAATATACTGACTTTTCTACCATGGTGTCTCCCTTCTCATGGAGAACTCAGCTAGCTGCAGGCAAACACAAGGGACTTCAGCCATACCTGGCTGCTTTTCCTATGCACAAAAATTAGTACAGGTCCACGTCTGAGCAAGTCTGTCCTGCTGGGAATGAAGGAAGTTTAAAAGAAGGTGGCAGACCCTACCAGCATAGCACAGCCCTCCACACCTATGCACTTCTGAGCTACATCTATGTTAAGTCACACTGCATTGGAGTGACAGCTCTGTGGCTGCATGCACCCTACAGATTTGCACAAGTTGCAGTGGTAGAAATCTCAAAGCTACATTAGTAAGAGGAAACATTTCAAACAAGGCAAGGCCTGGCCCTCCCTTTTGCCTGATGACGTTTTTTTCCCTGTAAAATCTGTAGCTCCATGTTTGCACTTGAGAAACACTTCCCTGTGTACTCGCCTCTCTCCTCCCTATCATTTATCYCAGCAAATAGCTGAAGGTGGCAACAGTTTTATCTGAGCTTGCATTTCAATCCCAAGTGGAAAGGATTGCAAGGCTGTCCAAATTGCAAGGCTAACCTTCTGAAAATGAGGCCTTGAGTTACCCCTCTCTCGTATTTAACTCGCAATTTTCCATAAGGACGGAAGATGAATTGGATAGGTTAATTAGGAAGCCCTGGAATTCTGTTCATCATTGTGCTATGCAATCACAGATGCATCTTGCCTTTAGGACCCTGAATGTGCTGACATGAAGCCTTTTCTGCATGCCAGCTTCGTGGCATCTCCATCAYAATAAAGAAGGGGGAGGGGAAGGTRGTTGGAGTAGCCAAGCAAATCAGGAAAAACAACCAGCTAAACTGAGTGCTTTCTAATCCAATGCATTAAAGTCATACTCAATAAAGCTTGCCAACAGTCCCTGGCCTCTCTGCTGCAAAGTTCACAGAGGCATCTGATTAGAATAACATGTGTCTTCTAAAAATCCTCTTTTAAAAAGATTTTCATTCTGGATAGGGAACACGTAATGAATTGGAAATGTCCCTTTGGGAGTGTGGGGTGAAGGGGCATTCAACAAGCCCACCCAGCCCCAGAAGTCTGACTGCTCTCTGCCTGCTGCAAGATGGAAAACCCATCAGCTACAGCAAGTTTTTATTCCCTGCCAAAAAGAAAAAAATATATATAACAGAAATAACCCTGATCAGTTTAGTATTCAACTACTTTCCTAAAATTATGTGAAATCCAAGCCCAGTTGCAAATACAGACAATAGCAATGACATATCTGAGAGTCCCCAGGAACCTCATCCTTCAGAAAAGTGTCAATTTCAACATGTGTGCTACATTACTTAGGGTAACTTGTCCCAGATAAGGTTCYTGAGGTTTAAGGGATGAGACTGGACAAGGATTTGAGGAGAGATTAGGAAGATGATGAGAAAATGGGTAACTACTGTGTCATATCATGAGCAGAGAGGCTGAGCCAAGCTGCAACATGGGCTGTCAAGAGGAGGGAGATGCTTTTTTTTTTTTTTCAGACAAGTTAAGTTTTGTGTCTGAATCTTGAGAACTAGACCACATGACATGTTGTAAAAGAGTACAGATTGTGCAACAAATGCTTTGTCTGTGACTGTATATTTGCCTGGAGCAGTTTCATGGATTGTGTACATCCATGCTCTCTTTTTTTTATATTCCCGTGAAGATTCTGAGTTTTGTCCACGTACAGAATATTTGGTGTCAGTGCCAGAAAAGGAGAACTTTCCTGGCCAGCCTTGGTTCATCTAAGGCTCCAGCTCTGGAGATGTTCTCTAGCAGAGTCACTTGCTGCTTCCCCCACTGCCATTCTCAGCAGAATAATGTCATAAAAGGAGTGTCACACCTTGTTAAGCRGGGTTATAATGGTGTGTTGTATTTCACACTGGAGTTAGAGCCAAGAAACCCCTCAGGGTATCTCAGRCCACACCTGAGCAAAGCTTTGCTGGCAGTGATGATGCTCAAGGTACCCTTCCTTATGACAGTCTGATTTCTCCAGACTTCTGGTATTTTGCAGCCTGGGAGTATTAGAGAAMATGTGATGGAGAACCTGTCTCTGTCCAAGATGTGCCTACAGGTATAGTGGAGAAGGGGAGAGATGGGTGGCTATTCAAGAGMCAGCCATACTGGCCTTGATTGGACTCAATGGTCTTAGAAGTCCCTTCCAACCCAAACGATTCCATGGTTCATAGCCCATATCCAACCATTTCCTGAATTGTTGAAATATGGCAAAACTCAAGGCCATTTAGGTGTCCTTATGCCCAATCAGAGSTCTGGCCTGATGAGGTGGGATAACATCCCTTTTCTAATCCAACTTCACCTGTGACAGCTGGGAACATGGAAGGTGATCAAATCTGCATGACCCTCTGCTTCTTGACCAACACCCACACCGCCATAAAATCCAAGTGATGATAAAAAACCTAAGAGAGCTGAGAAAATGTACAGTCCAAACAGACTTGCTGCGTACTGGTGCATGGGAAGAGCCTGTAGTATCAGCCATATTCTTCAGCTGCATCTACAATCCCCATGACCTCACACCTTCTTTGGAAAATTGGACWGGAATGAGGACATACCTTGTGATATCTGATACCTGAAGGACCACGGAGCTGTCTTGGATTTGCAAATACACTTAAACTGAGCAGTAAACCTTTCCTGAAACTTGATGCCAGACTCTGCTTTTATCTGCTCTGATAAAAAGGTTTCAATGCAGTGCTGGTTTTACCAGGGATTAGACTGCCAGCTTTTGCATGGCATATGGCATTTTGTTGTATCAACAATTAGGTATTTACAGGCACGTCATTTTATGCCTAAGGCCAGCTTCCGCCAAGCAGGGAGGGTTTGCACATATGGTGCAGATTTCCATAAACAAGGAGCTTAGGTAGAATAGCATAAGACTGGAATGTTGTGCTCAAGTCTGACAGCACCTTGAAGAATTGTAATTTCTCCTTGCTTGTTCCATCTCAGAGATGTGCAGMAATACACTACCCCTAAGCATTCCTCTATGTGACAGGGAAAATAATTTTCCATTCTCTTTAAGGAATTAAATTAGCATTGTTACAATTCCTCCTTCAGGATGTTTAAGAATATATAAGGAACCTGTTTCTWATATCCAGCTGACACACATACATAGTTTTATACTTCCAGTATAAGTGAAATTTGCTCCAATCCCTTGGTTGCTTCCTTGTCGAGTGCTCTTTCTCAGTGCGTATAAAATCTCTGACTTTTAAAATAGTTAAAAATAACTATGGGTTAAGAGCACTTGAACCTTCTCACACTCTTTGAAGACTAATTTAGAAAACCTGACAGGGTTCATCATTCTGTTCATGATCAGTACAATCTATTAACAGCGTTGGCAGTAAACTACCAGCTAGACAAAGGGAAAATGACTACTCTCAAGTAAGCTGTTGAAGCAAAAAGATATTAAGCAAAAGGTTTGGACATAATTCAGTAATGACCTTCAGCTGAAATGTTTTTCTGTTTTAAGTGAATTAATGAGCTATAATTATTAGTGATCTTGGAGACAGTGATCTTGCATAATGCAAGCTGAACAACACAAATGGAAGCCCTGTCTGTCTCAATCAGACAAGGTCTCTTTTGTTATAATTAAATGTTATCACCTTCATTACTTCTTAAAATGTGCTTCACAGTTTATACTTTGACATYCTCATACCACCACACCTTTGCTATTTATGGTACAGTCACATCTGCCATAGCAATGGAGGTTTTGAAAATGTTTTACCTGACTTTTAACAGATGGATGTTAATGGGATATTTATTTACAGAATAAAATTAAATTGAAACTGAATCTTAATGCACAATTTACATAATCAGCTTTGTTCTGAGCTGGTGAGCTGTTTTTCCAGCACTTGGGACCCTTCAGACAAGCTGGATCAAAGAAACAGCCACTGAGAATGGAGATTAAACAATTTCCTAAAGCTAGAAGTCTTGATGAGAATCTATTATTCCATATTAGAATCCCAYAATTTCTCCAGACACTGCCGTAAGATCAAAGATGTATGTTAGAGGTTTGGCATAGCCCACTATCAAAAGGAAGATGTTCAATTTGCATTTAGAAAACATTTTTGCCAATTATATTTTTCTGTTGATTTGAAAGTTTTGCGATTTCACCTTTTTTTCACCGAAAGCATAAAAAAAAATCTATAAAACCAGAGGAGTAAGACTGAAAAACCAAAMTGCATATATTTGAAACAAATTTGGAGATATTTGCTTCTACTAATTGTGCACTCTGCCTACAATCCTCTGCCCTGCTGACGCTCAGCTCAGCTGGAGTTTTGCCACAGTCTTCAAGTGGCACAGGACAGAACCCTCAGTTGCAATGCTAAAAACATTCTTGGTGCCTAATCCCTGACTCTGAGGCTGCCTGAATGGCTGTAGGGCTGCATGGGGTTGTTCTGACCCAAATGCAGGGCCCAGAATTTTGCCTTGTTACCTCACACAACTGGCCTAGTTTATCGATTCAGCGTGCCCACAGATYCTTCTGCTGAGCCTTCCTGCCCTCTGGCAGAGCATCACTCCCACTCAGCTTGGTATCCTCTGCAAACTGACTGAGGCTGCATTCCACTGATGAGGCAGGTCACTGACTAGCTGCCCTTGGATRATGGGGGCTTCATTCTGCTCCCTGTCCCTGTCTTCCACCTCAGAGAGCTGTGTACCCTGAGAACAGCTGACCTTACTATTAGAATCTGAAGCAGTGAAGGCATTAAAGTACCTGAAGTATTTTCTTCATCCTTTTTCACTGTTTCCCCCTATATCCACTTAAGGATTAAGATTCTCCTTAGCCTTCTTTTTGTTGATGATGAATTTATAAAAATATTTCTTATTACAGTAACCAGATTAAGTTCTATTTGGGATTTGACCCTTTTAATTTCTGCCTGCATAGCCTCACAACATCTTAGTGTTCCCCCTGAGCTGCCTACCCCTTATTCCAAAAGTCCTAAACTCTCATTTTTTCCCCCTCAGTTCCATCCAAAGCTCTGCATTCAGCCATTCATCAAAAGGTGTGACCATGTCTCAGGCCTTGATCCTTTCYACCCAGCTTTGGCCCCTCCAGGCTCTCTGCAGCCAGCAGAGAAAATCCTGTAYCCTCTGGCAATCCTGCCTACCTCCACCAGCTGCAGAAGAGACCTCAGGTGACCATGGGTCTCAGTTTCTTTCATTTAAGTGCCCCCACCTAGGTAGATGAATACCACTTTGGAAAACGTGGCAAAGTTTTAAAGTTGCCTGCTTTAAAACCAGCCRATGGCCACCATAAGAAAGATTTTTGTCATGGAACTTATCTCCCTCCTCTTTGCACCTCACTGCAGGAATGTTTTGAGTAGTCTGTTCTCAAATTAGATGYCAAAAAAAGAGGAACCAGGACTAGTTCTGGTTCAGCACAAAGGTTGAGTAAAAGACTTTCATCACATCCTGCATTTAAATGAATGCTGATGGCTAATTCTGAGGCAAACTGGAACTGACCCTGGGAAAGAATAAACTGGGCTGCTGAGAGCACCAACAAACAGTCTGCACCACCAYGGAGAGCGTGGCTTTTGGCCAGCACCACAACTTTTGAAGCACATCCTCAACATCACGAAATCACAAGCAAAACTCTGGGAAAACTGTCTTCAGCAGCTAACAGGGCCCAAGAAAGCTGAAAACACTTTGAAAAAATTCCTAAATTGCAATTTAGGGATGGGGGGATGTGGAGGGGCTGCTAAGATGAGCACAAAAGGCCRAGTGGGTGTTCTACGAACACAGCACAAACCCAGATGTGTTAGACTGTCTAGTAAGAAATGAGAACAGGAAAGTCAGCATTTGCACAGAGCCCAGCTAGAGGCAATAATCCAATTTACAGGGAAGTAAAAGGCTGATGCTGACCTTGCCAAAAATCCAGCTTTCCAAAAACARTACTGATAAATGAGTAGTGCAAAAATAAGGGGCTAATCAGCAAGAATAAGAAGAGAGATGGAAAGTTTGTCTCTTTGCAAAAGGTAAATTATGCACTATAAGAATGACATCCATGATTTCAAGACACAATAGCTACCAGTTTCCATGGATTTGTAAACCAGTGAACAGACTAGGAAAATGTGTTAAACTTACCTCTTTTTTTCCCAAAGCTGCCTAAATTTTATAAGTTCTTCCTGTAAATGCCTGCTTCGCACTTTTCTTTCATTTGTTCCTTAAATAGGGCGCAAAAGCTGTGAGTCCATCCATTGTCACAGCATTCACTCTAGAGATGGAGACATCTAGGATGSCCCCCACTGAAGTAGTTACTGGAACTGGCTGGGGACACGGAATTGTGCAGAAAATGTGCTGTACTTGGCACTGTCCCTGTGCAGTCCTGTGGCACTCTGCCGGCAGCTCCATCAGATCTCACCTTCTGTRCCCTCAGCATTAACTGATCAAGCAATACTCGTGATCATCTGCCTTTCCTGCACCACCCAGGAATTATCCTCCACGGTTGCCATCGAGTCCCTCTGGTGTGTAACAAAATCTCGAGATTTGGTACCTTCTGGAACTGTGAGAGTTTGAACAGCAAAGAGCCCTCCTCAAGATTAAGCACTGGGCAATCATGGGCATTGTCATCTCACATGACAGACTTCAGAAGCCTTGAAGGAAGGAGCAATTSAACTTCTCTGTGAGAGATGCCAAAAAATATACACCAGGTATAGACTCTTTTATAACCAGGAAAATCAAAGATCCAAAGCAATGATCAAAGTGCAAAGGAGTCACAAAACCTAATTCCCTCCAGGAACACCATTAGCATTCAGGAGAAGCAGCTTGTTCCCCCCAGGATCCTACATGTGCTCATGACATTTAAGCTCTGCCCAAACTAACTCAATTTTATTCACAAAGTAATAATTTCTCCACACAATGGAGAGATCCGAGTCAGCTGCTTAATGAAGGCATCACACAGAAAGCAAAGCCAAGGGCTGGGACACATTCCCRAGCTTGTGCCACTTCACCACTTGATGAAGCACCTCCTCTGCCTGGGACTGCCAAGCTTCTCACTCAGAGAGCTCCAAACCAAATGTCTAAGTCGGAGCTAATTGTCCTCAAAGTAATTATAGAGGCAACAGAGATGAAAAAGGGACTCCAGCTGGTGACACTGCCTACTTTTTGTATAATGAAAGTCAGATAAATCACAGCCTGAAGGTGCCCTTTCCTTCCAACAGGATAGAAAGGAAGCCCAGGGAAACTAGCTGGGATCTGGATGTCCTGTCCTGGATGGACACCTGGCATGAGGGGATATGACTCCTCCCAAACACCTGGAGGAAAGATGCACTCCCAAGTGTCTTTCCTGCCCACATATAGGGACATGGCAGGACTCAGTATCCTGACCAGTGGCAAAGAAATAGGTTTATTTCTTCTAACAGGACACAAATCAGTTTGTTAAGATAAGAACACATGATCAGAGCTTTTTACTGCTGCTGCCCTCCTCCAAACCCCTGCATTAGGGTCTTCATAGTCCTATTTCTCCCTCTTACCAAATATTATGTTCAGACCCAGTGAGGAAGATGGCAAGAAGAAAAGCAGCACATCTGAAAGCACAGAAGCATGAACATGTTYCCCAGCATGGTGCTGAGGTATTTATCTATTTATAGCTGTGATACAGTCATTAAGGAGGAGTACCTTGCTGTCTGCATATCCACCTGTTAATAAACATTGCTCCTCTTCTTCTCACCTGATCCTTGCACATGCAGCCCTACCTGCACCACTGAGAGCCAGCCCTTCAGCATCATGCAAGAGAGATTTGCTTCAGCATCCCAAAGCCCTCAGAGCAGAAGAAAATGCCTGTTGTTTTAAGCTTCTGAAGTAAACATTCATCACTTGCACTTGGCGTGGTGTWGTCTGAGTGAAATATGAGGTGAAAGATTGTTCATGCTTTAGGAAATTTGGTGCCAAATCACTTAGAGACCTTTAAACTAGAGTGACAATCTGCTTTTGGGGTCCTGTTGCAAGAGATAAACCTCACAGTAACCTCTCTTTTGCTTTACAGTAATGCTCCTACAATTGCTCTGCAGAAGTCTCCTTGCATCTGTCTTGTCAGATTACCTAAAGGTTCCCGTACTCTGCCTGAAAGATTGTGACAAAGTGCCCTGCATYCGGGCTGTCCAAGACAGAGGAAAATGCATTTCCAGCCACTCTGGTCACACAATTGAGACTAGACCAGAATTTCAAACCTGAGCACATCAACAGGCTCTCATCTCCTGCRTCAGCAGATCACTGGAGACTGGCTTGTCCATTATGTTGGGAGCAGATGCCCATCTAAACACTGCCTTAAACCATGGAAAAGCCATCAAAATGCTGCTTTTGGCAACCTGCTTGCTTGCTCTGGGGCAGCTGAAAACCTGCCTTCTCTGAGCATCCAAGAAATGCTCAGTGCAGGATATGTCCTGCTGCCTGCTCAATTCTCTCCTGCAGCCCCACCATGGTATCTGTGAGGAGGGATCCTTCTTTATTTATCAACACTTTGTAGCAGAGACTGTGAGCATGTCCTTGGCTACTTCTCACTGTAATCAGAGCTGACATCCTGAAGCAATTTCCTTCTGAAAATCTAGGCCCTATTATCAGAAACTTTGGGAAAAAAAACAGTGAAAAACATGATTCCTGACACTAGGCAAATTGATGACAGTCAGCCATATAAGCAGAAGGTGAAATATATCTAAGTAGTGCAAGAAAATTTCAGAATAACACCATATTTCCCAGATGTCTTCAGGATCTATTGGCATTTTATCAGGTTTCCTGAAAAAGGGGGGAAGCTTTCCAGGAACTGGACTAGCAGTTCTTAGCACCAAGCTTCATATATCTCCAAGCTGATGCTCAGCTGCCAGCTTCTGTCCTGCTTCTCCATGTCCCGGGGAAGTGATGGCAATGATCTCYTTCTCCAGCATTTCCATTTGAGCTGTAATGTCTGACACGGTGTTTTTCACAGCATTCAGCTGCAGTTTCAGTTTATTGTAATCTTCTTGGAAGGAGCTGTTCACATCCCACAGATTCTGACAGCACTGTTTCTCCCCATGGGGATGGTTCACTTTCAGGAAGGTGTGGAGAAGCTCACTTAAGTCCTGGAGAACCCGGAGGATTTCATTCTCACCCTGCATTCTTGGGGCAGACTGGGTATTATTCTGAGTTGGAATAGTGCTCTCCTCTTTACCTTCAGGTATCTGCTGGGGGATGGGGYCAGGGTTACCTTTTTCCACAGCTGCCATGGGGTCAGTGTTCTTCTGAAGACCTGAGCTGGCATCTTTGCTCCCATCATGGACTGGGATGACTTTTTGGACTTTCCAGGTAACAGGGAGTGTTTCATTCTCCTGCTGGAAATCCTCAAAGATTTTATTATTTTCCTGGACCGCCTGGAGAGCTTTTTTGCCTAGCTGAAAGCCTGTGTTCCTCTCCTGGAAGAGTTTAAATGTATTATTTTTGTTCTTGAGGCTTTGCTGAGCAGCATCAGTGTAAATTACCTGGACAGCTTTGCTCTGTGACTGGAGATATTGCAGGGCCTTGTTTTCTTCCCAGAGCATCCTGTTTTTGATCCAGAGGACTTGGTTTTCCTGCCAGAGTGCTCTGTTCTCCTCCCAGATGCTCCACTCATTCTKTGCCTCCTTGCTGAAGAGTTTCTGGTGGGAAGCAATGGGTGTCTGGCAGTGGATGTCACTCGCCCTTTTCCCATCCATGAAGACAAACATCTCATCCCTGGGCTTCACCCAGGGGGTGACACCGTGTGTGTCGGGCTCTGYGTGCTGCATGCTCGGGTTCCTCTGATCAAAGGCAGACGTGGCCCTCYTTCAGCAGATTGAGGAGGACTGTCTGAAAAGGCTTCTCCCARGACTTCCCCAAGAGGACACTGCCAAGGAGTTGGTGACACGGTGGGGCTGCAGAAGCTTGATTAGGACTGAAAGAACAGGGAACACAAATGCACAGACTTACTGCCAAAATTCCAAATCAGAATCAAGCTACACTAATGACAGGAACATGCGAATAAATCAGTTCTCACAGTMGATGGAGTTGCCCCTTTGATGCTGAAAAGTAACGAATACAGCAGATACGTATTGGGTAGAAGCTGAGAAAACTTGCATTGGTAGATAAACCAGCTCTGTGGCAGCATTAAAAGCTTCCATATAAAAACATGGACTATCCCTTTATCTCTCTACCTCATTTTTACACACCTGTAAGGGAGTAAACGCAAGAATATTTTCTATTTTCTGCCTCACAGTAGCTTGTTCCCAAATGACTGACAGAAAAACACATTAAAAATTGTYACGAAGCTGAAACAAACTTTTCAAAAATAAAGCATTTCTAAAGGATCATAGGAAAAAGCTGGCCTTAAGAGCAAGTTTTTCTTGYTGATAACTGAGTAGCCTGTGTTAACAGGATGCCACAAAAATGCAGTGGCAGCTTTGCTTTTTGATCTTAAAATGCACAYTATGCACAGATAATTTGAAACTCCAAACCAAAGTCTTGGGACATCAGGACCAAGACAGCTTTGTTGCTCTTTGCGTGGCTTTTTGACAAGCCCCCATCACCAGGTCCAAAACCTGTCACAACCCATAGATAATTCTCCATCTTTCATTCTCATTTCTCCTGTCACTCTTCTTCTTTATATCCTTTGATMGCTCTGTTATTTTTCTTGCTTTCCAGCCCTGCAATAGTGATTGCTTATCTTTTTCCTACAGTCCATCTGCCTCTTTTTCACATCATCAGAAAACTCATCTCTAAAATCCATACTGCAGGGCCAAACCTCTAATGCTTCTCATTTCAGACACAGAAACCTCAGACTTATCTGTTGAAGGCTTTTCCCCCCTTCCCTGTACCCAAAATATTGCAGTTTAAATCACCTTCTAGCCACAAGTGAACTGGGGCAAATGAAGGMTTTCAGTCTTCAACACGACAAAAAAGCAGCCAACCAAACAATCAAAAAATATTGTTTTGTGCCAAAGAAAAGCTTATTTTTCTGCAGTTTTAACAGAATAAAATTTATATGATTTTCATGATGAAGTTATTTGGACTGAGGTTGAACTATTTTTTATAAACAAGTTGCTGGAATTCTCAGGGTTTCTGCTCAGTGTTTCTAACAGCACAAATGTGCTTTTCTGTAGTTAAAAAAAGTAAAATAAAAGGAGAAGTTAGTTGTCAAATTTCACTCAGGTCTACTCCTCTCCCCCTGCTGAGGTCTCCCAGCCTCCCTTTTATCCCTTGTAAAGCCCAGTTCTGCTTTTCTATCTGAGGAGAGTTTTAGAGAGTTTTACCTTCATGAATCTTGCCCTCATACCTCTACCWCAAGCATTAAGCAGAGGATGAACACCACACACAGGCCCCTCATAGCCTCCAGCACTGCCATCACATTGTGCATCCCTTTCCTATTGCTGCCCTCTCCTTTACAAAACCTCTTGCTCTCCCTTTCCCCTGTCATTTCCACCAAACAGCACCACAATTCTGGGCTCCTCCGAGTTACTTCTGAGAGCCAGCATCCATAGATGCATCCTGCGCTCCATTCCCAAGCTTGTCCAAGCAGTCATAAAATTACTGCTTTGTTTAAAATCCAAAATWCTTTCATGTAGGGGAGAGCTATTGCAATATAGGTCTGTTTGCAGTCACACTTGATTTTATTGCAACAGGGTTTCCATCTGACTTCCAGKGTTGTCTTCCACATCACCTTCTGCTTTATCTCTCATTAGACTTGTGTTTTCATAAAATCATTCCTCTGCTAAAAAGGATTTCCCCAAAAACTCTGTTTTGGACGTTTTTGTTTCCACTACACTATATCCAGAGCCATGCATCACTCCCCCCTTGGCATCCTTTCCACTGCAGCCTTTTCAACACATCCAATTCCATTGGGGTCCCCAGTCCCAAAATGGGAGTAGGGTGGGGTGGGGGATGAAGGGATAGGGGGCAAATCAGCCACAGAGGGAATAGACCCTTAAATATGAAGGGAAGATGCAAAGCAAACCTAGCAGCAGAACCCAGATCCATGTGCCGCTGTGCACATGGACAAGCTGCTACAATTCCTAAAGTCACTTACAGATGAAGTGTTTAGATTGCATATTTCCAGGATAAACAGACCTGTATAATATGTATGACTTTGAAGGACATTATCTTGGGGACAATTAAACTTGACAGTGGCTCTGTCAGCTCTTTTGCACTGCAGCGGAGACATCGACCCGGGCTTCAGAGAGACACTTCAAGTTCTTAGTGCCTCCCATATAAATTTCCCCCCATCTCTGAATAATCCCAGGAAATGCTGGGCAACTTGGTGGATGGGCAAGGTAGCCAGCTGGAGGGAAAGCCACACCAAATCAAGACAAGCTGGGCAATTTGGGAGCGCTACATTACACACCCAGCACATGCTCACCTTCTCAGCGACCCAGTGGTGTTCCTTCTCCCCACCGTAGAGCGGAGCAGCCCAGTCTGGGGTCTCACTGCTGTCGGGGTGTCCAGAGGCAGCGGGATCACAGCAGGGGACAGGGGACCGAGGCTGATGTGAGCACCAGCAGGGACCTTGCCCCAGAAGCAGCCACCTGCATGCTGATCAGGGGCTGGAGCTCCTGCACACCCTCCCTGCACAGCCCAACTTCCGMGCTCCCTCCCCTCTGTCCTCACAAGTCTGGCTTTTGTTTTTCCCAGCRCTGCTCTTTTGGGTTATTTCTCATGGAAATGACCTTCCTGCTAGCTTGGCTCCCATGCCCTTTTCTGAACTCAGACTTCCCGATCTCCCTTTGATACTCATAACTGAGAACAGTTTGGATGGATTCTTTCTCCATCACACCCYCTTAAACAAATTTTGCTTTTATTCTGAATCTTCAAACTGTGCTTGTTGCTGAACTGATATTGATACATAAAAAAAATCACTTCCTTGTATGTGCTGTGAGAGTTGAAGTTATTTTCCAAGGACAACTCCTTGGAGCTTGGAGCTCTTCTTTGACTATGAGTTTAAGAGCAGACCATCACTGAGCCCTGTTAAGAAGAAAATAGAATATACAGGGCATTCATGCATTGCAAGTTTCGATATTATTTGCAGCAGCCATTCCCACTTCCACATATTTATATTTCTAATGAAGTCTTTCTTATTTGCTACATATTTCAGAAGTGGATTTTTTTTTCTAATCAGGGTTCTTGAATAATAAATACAGCACTTAATTTTTTTTCCAGAGAAAATTACAAAGTTGACATCAGCCTCAAGGTGACTGCTATTGCTTTAGGAACTTGGTGGTACAGTTCAGCTTTGGTGTTATATGAAAA